GTCCACAGAGGGAGGAGAATTTACGCTTTATGGGAATGTCACAAATGGCCAAACTGTGCAAGACTAAACAATGTTTCTCTTTGTATACACACAAATACAAACTATCACCTGAGAACGGAAGTCTGTGGGACGAATACGCACCAAAGGCCATTAGCAAAAAGTCACCAAATGCATTGAGAGCTAATCTGTGTTTTATTTAGGCTGTTTTGTGTTGTATAGGTAATAGAATATGCAGCAAACACACACACAAGAACACACACGTGAGGAGTTAATATTACACTTTAATGTTATTAGAAAGCCATAAAATAAAATTAACACACTCGCTGAGCCATGTTCCTGTCAAGTTTCAAATTAAATACAATGTGGCTTGGTTTCTTAAAACGAGACTATTTAACTTTTAAGAGAGTAAATAACACATTCTTCCTCTTGATGATGAAAAGCTGAGTTCTTGAGCAATAAAACACACCTTGGCTTAAATCAGTACTCTTGCAGCTTTTGCTGCTACAGTGTTATTTAATTTGGTAGTAGTGTAACCAGTAGGTTTACTGCCAGTAACCATGGCTGCTGGTAATAACATTAGCCATGTCTAGCTAGTCTTTGCAAACTTGGGTTAAATTTGATAGATTTATAAGTTCACTGACGTAATGACTTGTGTTTGAGCATTTATATTGTCCTGTAATTGTGTTTAACAGATGTATTATTTTAAGCAAGCTGACAACCACTATTGTGTATAAGTATAGGTTGGAAGTAATGAAGTAAAAATACTTACTTACTGCACTTAAGTTGTTTTTTTCAGGTATCTGTACTTTAATTTAGTATTTATTTTTCTGACTTTTTACTTTACATTAGCTAACATTAGCCACTTTAAGGTACCAGACCAATAAGGCTGCAACCAAACTACTGAGTATGTTGAATGGAGTAAAGCTGCATTTTATTGCTTGAATCTAACTTTTATTTTGTAAGAGGAAGAATATGTTGAATCTGCTGTTGTAGTTAGTATCAGCTTTTGGTGAATGTTGGGTTTTTACAGTGGCTGGGGTGTTTCTGACAGTGAATGAGTAATTGTCCATTAGAGATATAAACCACGTTTTATTTATTGGTGTTAAGCTGTGTTGGTTTGGTGAGTAAGCAGGTAAGCCGGAATGGAAATTTATTAGGCTAAACCACAGTCAGGACTTCTTAGGCTTGTTTAAAAATATCCAGCAATTGAGGCAAGCTCAACTAATGTCATCCACCAAGGATACCATCCAACTTCAAACAGGGATTGGACATCCATGAGTTTGTCTTTCTGGAAAAATAGTACAGTGCCCCGAAGCTAAGCTTTAAAACATTGCTGTTTCTCTCGATATTGTAGAGATCACTTTGGGGATGGAGTTAGAGATGTCTGGCTTTTAGGTGTGGCTTACGTATATGGGGTGGTGATGTTGCAGGGTTGTGAACCTGGAGTGTTTGAATGGAGATGGTTTTGGGTGTAGAAAGTGGCTGGACATCCTGTCCTCATCCTCAGCTCCTTGGTTCCTGCCCAGCTTGCTGTGCCGCAGTGGAGCAGACTTGTTTGGTTAGCCGTTTGATTTATGGCCTTGGGGTTTTTAATATGCTTCTGCCCCATCCCTCTAAAACCCAGCACCACAAAATTACACCGGGGAGCAAACTCCCTGAGAGTTTCTCACAAAATATTGACCTAAAATAGCACAATGCCACGACACCTGTGTCAGCACCATGCATATATGAAGTCATCCATATATATATACTTACATGCTGTACTTTTTATAAGTAAATGTTTCCTGCTTTAATAGTAACCCATCAGTGATGTTGAGATTCATTTCATAACGTTATCTCCACTATGATGTTGTGGTCCTTGTTTGTGAAATACACTATTTATATGTGTACAATTAATATTGTTTTCTGCAAAGTACATTATATGTGATGAAACTCATCATGTATATGACTATGATCATTTGTTTTGCCAAATACATTTAGCAATAAATTTAATGGCTGCATGATTAGGATCACTGGCAATTTCCCTTAAAATCAAAATGAGATGAGGGAAACACTATCACTCTTGTCCACAGGGGCCGCCAGAATCAGCAAAAAATCAAAGCTCCTTGTTGCTGCTTGAAGTCACGTCTCATGCTTGGTGCCATGTCTCACTCCAATATCATGCTTTAGTTGCTACGAGCAGCTATTGTAGGTAGAACAAATGAAATATGTTGTTAGTGAATATTTTGCAACTTGGCAGATACGTTCATTATTGTTTAGTATATAAACATAATTTCTAGAAGACAGGAATGACTTAGTAAACATTTATTCTGTTGACTTATTCTACGTTTGCCCTTATTTTACAGTTATTCACTGGATGAGGGCAAAAACGAATTACATAACACACAGCTGAGTGTGTGTACAAGGATCTATAACAGTAACACTCACACACTCACTGGCTGCCTTGCTCCCTGGAGAAACACTGGCAAACATATTTATCAAAAGGTTCCAGCTTGCTTATGCCGAGGTGGTCTCATACATTATTCACTCTTTCTCTATCCACCACCTAGATCCTGGATCCACAACAATCCATTATGTCAAACACACTCTCCCTAACACATACACACACTGCTATACACTTGTCTCCAAAAGTCCCTTCTCATACACACCTGCTACCGGGCTTACACAGTACAAACTGCTTCGATATATTCAGTCACACTCACTCTTTCACACACACACGCACACACGCACACACGCACACATTCTCTGTAGACATGGTGGCCACTGGATTATTATGCTACCCCCTGGTGAGACTGGCAGGTGTGTCAGTGTGTGTGTGTGTATGTGTGTGTCAGGCTGTCTGGCGACCCCCTTCTCGGTATTTATTAGTTCTGGACAGCTGAGGTGCTCGACAAGATCTCTATTTAGCACTTCCGGCTAATTATCATACACACAGCCGAAGCCGGCGCTGAATCTGTGCAATTAGCCCCGGACCGCCCACATAATTTAGCCACTCACTAACTTTGCGTACCAAATCCCCCTGGTGGCTTGTGGGCTTAAATAGGTCCCTGCTGCCCTTTTAACACTTGTGCTACTGCATAACAGGCCTGGCAACCTGTTACACTCAAAACCACAGAGCTTTCATCTGCAGTGGACAGGAGCTTTCCCAGTTTGCGTTTGAACACTTATCACATGAACAGCAGCAAGCAATGTGATATTTTGATTCCACATGCATGGCAAGGATTTAAATGCAGGGTTAAATAATATGCAGATTTGTAAACTCTTTCTTTAAATTTATTTTCACATTTAAAGTATTTCAAAAGAAAGAAAACACAGGAATAAGACATATTAACTCAAGCATGTTTAGAATTACAGGGGTGTATACTTAAAAAACAAATATACAGCATATATTTAATTTAATTGATATAACAAATGATTGAGACATACATGAACACATTCTTTGGCTTTTCTCCATTTGTGGTAACTGTGACATCAGTGTGTACAGTAATTTTTTGGCCCTTATTACCTCTGTAACCATGTAAGAGCCATAGTCCCGGCTATTAGTACCTGCACTGATGTGGTTAGCTGTAATGAGCAGGTGCTTGTTCCTAAGATCCTCTTAGCTAGAATTACCTCACTCATGCACTCTCGCTGAAAGATACGATCTCTATATGAGTTTCATACAAAAGGCTGCTTTGTCCTACTTTCATCTTTCTCTGTTTGTGTTGTTAACATCCCTTAACTGTTTGTCTTTTTAAGCTTTAAGGCAAAACCTAGATTCTCTTTTTTCTGTATGTCTTTTCCATGTTGATCGCTACTTTCCTAGGATGGGAAGGTGCGGCAGGTTTTTTGGTCAGCAATGTTTGAGGTGCACAACTCTGTTTAGAGAAGGAAGATTACAGCCAAGCCCACTGTTTGTGTCACAGGGTTTTGTCTAATCTGTAGGAGTGTGTCAGGACACATCAGTACCATCACATGACCTGCTTTTAAAGTCTCTGTAACGTATACGAGTCCAAATTCCAGAGCTGAGAGTTATTATTATTATTCTTTTGTGCAAATTCTGTTCATTTCTCACACCAATTCAAGTTGCCATTTCAATGACATTTATAATAATTTTATGTAATAATACATTCATGATACTTATGGATGTAATGTTTAATTTGTCCATATTTCTATAAATGTGTGACTGGTCCATTCTAGCATTGTAGTTTCTTTGCTCCAAATTTTCCAGATTCTGAATTCACAACATTTGTATATCTGTGCTTTTGTCTTGAAGTTAAAAAGAGTTAAACAACCCCTCAATTCTCAGACACTTAAACAGACATTCTTAACACTTAAACCACTGTACAACTGCACTTTAAATCACTTTAACTGTCAACATACCTGTATAGGAGGTTGCCACCAGTTCACCTGGGTTTCTTCTATCTCTTTCCATTTTATTTCCATTGATGAGACTTTATATTGTTGCAACGTGTGGTAGTTATTCATATATGATTGTGGTTATGAAACATACATATTGTCTAATAAAATATGATGGACTGAGGCAGATATAGCAACAACTAGACCATAAAAAATGTAAATCTACTAATGCTTCAAAACCATTCACATTGTTCAATGTGAATGCTTTTGCCTGTGATGCTCAACAAAACTGACTTCTAGCCTTCTGTAGTTTACTTACTGTAAATAGCATTTTAAATGCAGGGCCGTTAATGATGTATTTTACAATGTTTAAATGTATTTCTTCTGTGGTTTTGACATTTCTACTTAAGTAATGGATTTAGTACGTCGTACCAGCTCTGTTTAAATAAGTATGACTCAAGCTTCTCAGAGAGAACTTATTTTGCCCTTGAACTGTTTTGCTTGGTTTGGTTTGGTCTGTTATTAACATCCTACATATTCTTTCCCCCCCCAACCACAATTGTTTTTGTCTATATCTTTCTGGTGCAGTTTAGTTTAGGTTGGTTGGGTTTGTTTGGTTTTCCTCTCTTCACCCTAACCGTGTCCTTGCCTTTGTGTGTCAGGTCCAGGGTGTAAGGGGAGCAGTCGGTCTCGGAGCTCCAATGCCAGTGGACATGCAGCCACACCAGGGGCTGTATCACTACGAGACCTCACCCAGCCAGCCCTCCAGAGGGTAAGACAGCAGTTAGCATGTGCTACGTCCTCCCTCATTACTCTGTGGCTGCATTTTAAACTTTATTTCTCGTGGTGAATTCCACAGCTGTTTTACATAAGAGAAATATAAGGCATGGTTCAACATTTTGGGAATATGCTTATTTTCTTTCTTTGTAAAAGTAAGATGAGAAGATTGATACAACTCACATTAAGCAGAGAGCTAGATTGAGGACAAGGTTAGCATAGCTTAGCATAAAGAAGGGACCCCTACCAACAACATCTAAGTTGACATGCTGTATGTTGTTTGTTTAACCTCCAAAAAAACAACAATGTAAAAAATAAATTTGATTCCTGAGGGAGTGACATGTTGAGTCAAATCAATGTTGGATTATTGAGGCTGATACTGATATGGATGTTGAAAGAATTCAATTACAACAAACTGACCAATATTCTTCTTCCTTTTACATAAACACAAAACAAAACATATACAAACATTTTTGAAACTTTACAGTTGCTGTATAGAGGACTATGTAATGGTGACTATTTCTGATTTTCTGATTTTAACAATATTGACATTTGTGTACTACAATTTCTATTTTTCTCAGCCAAAATATACAATAATAACAATCTCTTTCTATCTTTCAATATATGGGGCTAGCAGATTAACAGTTAATCCATTCACACAGCACTCCTATTGCACCGGTCGACAGATATGGTTGTGAAGTCAGATTTTTGTGTCTGTACGGGCACAAAAGTATAAAATCTGAGAACCAAAACAAGATTTTAAGAAGTTGTGTGCGCTTTCTGCACACGGCTATCGTTTGCAAAGAAATATCTCCAGCACAAACGATTAGCCCTCCCTTAAAAGTCATCCCTTAAATGATTGTTTTCTGTCTCTGTACACGGGTGATATGTCAATACATTAGGGTTTTTATAAGCATATTCTTTAACATTCAACAGAGCCTGGCTAGGTGTTTTGTCTCATCTTACTCTTATTTCTTTTAATGTTGGTCACTTGTCTTTCCAATTTCACTACATTACAGCTACTGACCTTAATCACCTTGCTGTTTTTTATTAACAAGCAACCAGAAATCACAGCAGTCTCTCTCTAGAAAGCAGTGATGATGCTCATTTCAGAGGCTCAGAAACGGTTCCTATTTTAATCACACAGATATTCTGAGGGTGCAGAAGTCTCGCTGCAATTGTTATGGACACAGTGCTAACTCAGCCCCTCACTCCTCCCCCTCTCCTCCCTCTCCCCAGTCCTCCCTCCCTTCCTCATGCCACCCAGGTTGCGGGTGGACTCGGCCTCTCTCTGACAGCTGCTAATTACAGGCTGACCAGGCCCCGCTGTGCTCTGCATGACTGCCTCGCGCCCCGCTCAGGTTACCCAGAGTGAGGGAGAAACAGAGAGAGATGGAGAGAAAGGTGGCTGGGCAGGATAGAGAAAGACAGAGGAGCGGGAGAGGGAGGGAGAAAGAAAGAGGAGATAGAAAGTGACAGAAAGGACAGAGGGGGGAGAGAGAAAGAGAGAGAGAAAAAGAGAGAAGTAGAACAGAAGGGATGAATGGGAGAAGAGAAAGGGGGGAAAGGAGTGAGAATGGGAGGGAGGTAGATGCGGGGGAACCAGCACAGTGGATTAGAGACGACAGATTAAGCTCCTGTGTGGAATACACGTTGTGGTGAAAGAATTAAAGAACTGAAAGGACGACTTAGGAGAAGGTGGATAGATGAAGTCTGTCCCTTTAGTAGAGGAGCGAGAGGGACAGAGAAAAAGAGAAATAGAAGAGGAGAGACAGATTTTGAACTAACCAGTGAGACTGAAGAAAGGTCAGAGAAAACATTGAAATTCATAAGACTGGAAAGTTCCAATGAAGCTTTCCCTCTCTAGTTTGGTAGGGGAAAACCCAAATGAGTAAGTTTCCACAGTGTAGACCAGGATAGAGACTATACCCCATCTAGTGGTGAAAATGAGACATCACAAGCGATTACAGCAGAGATGAGCTTCTGAAGTTCAGCTCCACAGACAGTGCTTCTTTCAAGGCCTCTACAAAAAGTTACTATAAATGCTTCAGCTTATAGATAATGTGGTATTTATAGAAGCTTTACAATTAGCATTATCTTATCTGACTTATCTTGGTTTAAAAATGACATGGAAAACACAGAAAAATATAATACTCTAATAATAATAATAATTTGTTATGGTGTTTATTTATTTTAGGTGAAGTTTTTATTTATTTCTAAGTTGCCCAAGACAAATTGTGTGTGTTTTTTTTTTATATTTGCAGCCTAGTCCCATCAGACCATTCTCCCTACAATGATGTGTCCTCTATGCGTGCCCCGCTCCTCAACGTCCCTCCCCAGGACTGCCGCGCTATGTATAATCCCCTGACTCCCAGTATGACTCATGGATCAGGACCAGGACAGGGGATTGGCCACTGCATGGATCAATATATGAGGCCCCCTCAGGCCCCGCCGCCACACAGTATTATGGGCCACAGGGGCATGCCGCCCACGGAGGGTGAGTCAGAGTATCTTTTACACCTCCTTAATCTCACAGCTGCTACTGATTTGGACTTAAAGATACCTGAGAGAGTGAGTAAGAAACAGAGACTACCCAAATTTCTACAATGGGAAAGATTGGAAGTCAACAAAAGGCCTGTTGTACTGCTGAGATTGAAATGTGTGTTACTCTGCAGCAACTTGTACCTACTCAGTTAAATTAAGGTGAACTAGAGATAGTAAAATCGACCCTGTAAACCTAAAATATGTGAATGCTGATTACAATTCTATTTACCTTATCTGAAGAAGAAAGAGTTTATACTATAAAACCACTCAGGGCAGTTACTTGTCTCTGTTTTACCTGTGTCATTTAATAAAAGCTAGAACTTACAGGTGCATCTTGTAGCTGTACCTAAAACTTCAAATGACATTGACATTGTTGTGTGGCCAACCCCAGTGCAAGTAACTATCCTTCCTTGCTCAACCAATCAGCACTTGTTAGATGCACCAGACTACATGTCAACATGATGTGTAGTTGGGATTTTGATCACATGGGCTACACTGTGAGTTTCAGTAACCCAGAAACCCTTTGTCTGCTTCATTAACTTAAAAGATGTCAGTGTGGATCTGTGCAGTATGTTTTAGTGATTCTCTCTGACCTTAACTTCTAACAGGTGGCAATAGCACCCCCTACTGTAACCAGAACAACATGATGTCCTCTCATCACAACTTCTGCCAGATTCAGCCCGGCTCTGATCAGATAGGCTCAGGAGATGGTAAGTTAACATTCCCCACTGTTTCCTTTAATTAGAAATCTAAATGTCTCTAAAGTATTTTGTATCAAAGCTAACCCTCCTGCTGTTTTATATCCTTTGTTCCCTTTTAGGCTCAAGGTTCTCCACGCCACGCTCCATGCTAAAGCTGAGTAAAAAGAGAGCTCTGTCCATCTCTCCTCTGTCTGATGCCAGCGTAGACCTGCAGACAGTGATCCGGACATCACCCAACTCCTTGGTGGCCTTTGTCAACTCTCGCTGCAACCCCAATGGGGCCAGTTCTTATGGCCATCTCTCTGTGAGCGCCATGAGGTCAGATATTTCTCTATTCCATGTTAAGCACAGAAATGCATCTTAAAGCCAGCAATATTCATATCTATTACCTCAGACTAGTAAGCTCTAATATCCATTATATTGGATACAAAGTGCTGCTGCTGAACGTGCCCTGATTTTAAAGTAGCTGTACAATATGCAGTGATTTACTTTGAGGCATACAGTTTGTTATTTGTTCCTCTTGCCTTACTTAGCCACATTATCACTCCAATATTTATCAAAACTTAAACGTGAGTTTCACCTGTTCAACAGTTCAACCCCAAACTGATAACAGCAAGCTAGCTGGCCAATTGCTTGGCAAATAGGGTGATCTACTGTGGATATTTACAGACATGTAGACACATACAAACAGGAAAATGAGGAGAATAATAAAGGCAAGCATTACGTAAAAGTTACACATTCCTACATTAAAAGAAAACAATATAATCTGCACATGATAAATGTCCACATTCATCTCCATATTTGACTATTTCAACAAAATCAGCTTTTATGCTCCTAGAGTTGTAATATTGTTGTTTTTTTTCCTTTTGCTCCACAGTCCGTCCCTGGGCTATTCCAGCAATATAACCTGCCAATCCAGACAACAAGGTTCCATCTATGGAGGAGGCGGGGGGACACCTCTGGGTGGACACACACCAGGCCCCTGCCAAGCTTCCCGTTTACCTCCCCACAATCCTCGGCTGCACGCTCCACCCAAGCATGGACATGTAAGACAGCTCTCTCACTCACTTTACAAAGCAGTCAAAGCATTTCAGTATCAGTGCACCCTCTGCTTCTGACAGCTGGGGAAGGGAGGTGGGAAGAGGAAGCTATAGGCGTATGATAGTGAGAATTAAAACTTGTGTTAATGGTATCAATGTGAATGTGAGAAACAGAAAGAGATAAACAGAGGTGATATGATGTTGGTTATGATATGATATGTGTTTTATTTTGTAGCTGAAGACAGAGCCAGGACTGGGAAGTGTGAGGGATGGCATGAATGTGAAGAGCCTGGAGGAAAGGTCAGAGGGGGATGTGGCCAGTCCTTCTTCCACTGGCACTCAGGTACATTGTTATTCCTGCAAGTAGTTTTTACCTTCACACATTTTTATTTTAGTTTTGGCATGCGGGAGTATAAAAACATTTGTCTGTGTGATGTATGGAAGTAACATAGTGTCAAGATCAGTGAGTGGAGGATATATAATTATTCTTGTTAAACTTGTTTGACTGATATTGGCCCATACTGCAGGCGTTGTCTTGTTGACCACCAGCTGTAGTTGGCAAAGAACCTCCATCATATCAGCAAAACATGACTGGCTGATATTTGTCTATATGTAATATAGGGCACATGTTTCCCTATATGTGTAAATGGCTTTGAGTTAAATGCAGAGAGCAAAATTTCATTATGTTTGTATTTTCTTAAACTTGAGCCATGATCTGTACCCATATGTTTCATCAGGACCCTTTGCTGGGTCTACTGGATGGCAGAGATGACTTAGACAAGGAGGACGGGAAGCCTGAACAAGAGGCCATCTATGAAACCAACTGCCACTGGGAGAGCTGCAACAAGGAATTTGACACACAAGACCAGCTAGTTCATGTAAGCGATAGATCAACCGATATATTGTAGAATAGATGAAGTTTTGTTCATTATTAATGGGTCTCTGTATTTATCTGTTTACTCAAAAGCACATCAACAATGAACACATCCATGGAGAAAAGAAGGAGTTTGTGTGTCACTGGCAGGAGTGCTCTCGAGAACAGAGGCCTTTCAAAGCCCAGTACATGCTGGTGGTTCATATGCGCAGACACACAGGAGAGAAGCCACACAAGTGCACTGTGAGTATATCTGAAGTTTCTGTCTATGTGCTTTATTTCTCTCTGTTTCTATTTATGTTGTTGTTATATCGATTTTTACACCTGCAAGCATGAAACTGCTAACAGCGTGAAAGCAGCCATTTACATCGTCACATTTTACATTTATCATTGTGTGTCATCATAACTTGCTAAAGCAGATAATTATTTATAAAGTCAACTGTTACATTTTCAGTTTCTACTGTGGAGTTTGTGTTTGGTTCATTGTCTTAAAAAAATATTGCCAATGTAGCTTCACTAGCAGGTGGCAGGTCTGAATGAACTGAGAAACTCATAACAGGGTCTCATATCATTAATGCAGAGGTGAAAAAAGATAAAGCTTATAAAGCCCTTGTAACTACAATCATTGTACTATATCTCAAATACAGTATGGCTATAAGACTGTAGGTCTGGCCATAGACTGGCCATTTCTGTCAGTTTATAGCCTCATTAGTTAAAGCTATTGGTAGTTGTTGTCTTTATTGAAACTTAGCTTTGGTTATAAAACCATTATTTCTGTTCCAGTTCGAAGGCTGTAATAAGGCCTACTCTCGCCTGGAGAATTTGAAGACCCACCTGCGCTCTCACACTGGAGAGAAACCATACGTGTGTGAACATGAAGGCTGCAACAAGGCCTTCTCCAATGCTTCAGACAGGGCTAAACACCAGAACCGAACTCACTCCAACGAGGTACTTTAATGTATACCACTACCACAAGTGATAAAGTTATATCATTTGAACAATACCTTGACAGATAAATTAATTAGCTTTCTTGGCTTTGCATATTATTAACAGTGATACTGCAGTAAAATATACTTTTATCTTTTTATGAAATGAGTTAATAATAAAACATAATAATTCAGTCAGTTAATATAGGAGTCTTGTAGAGATTCACACTTTACACACTATTTTGGATGGTATAGAAAATCAGGAAAAACAAGAATGATAAACTACTACATCCTCTTTCAGTATCAGTAAAGTTGCAGTAAAGTAAATTTTGGCATGCAAGCACTGTATACACTCAAACTAAATTGTGTGTGCCCCTTTACAGAAACCATATGTATGTAAGATCCCTGGCTGCACTAAGCGATACACAGATCCGAGCTCTTTGCGTAAACATGTGAAAACAGTCCATGGCCCTGAAGCCCACATCACCAAGAAGCATCGTGGAGACACAGGACCTCGACCCCCTGGTTCAGCTATGACTCCAGGAGGCCAGAGCTCTGAACTGCTACTGGAGAAAGAGGAGACACGCAGAGAGGACTGCAAACTGTTGGCTCCTGAGACTGCTCTGGTGAGTGATAAATTGTATTTCTGGCCTGCAAGGTGCTTTAAATGTAAAAGAATTAAGTAAGAAAAAGTTCCAATGTTAAAAGCACCCCACCCATAGATTCTATTTACCTTATTACGTGCAAATCAGATATACCTAACATTTCTGCCATTTGAAAAAATAATTTAACGTATACATGATAATAAATTACATTACATCTTCCAGAAATCCCAGCCAAGCCCTGGCGGTCAATCATCCTGCAGTAGCGAACGTTCTCCACTGGGGAGCGCCAACAACAATGATAGTGGGGTGGAGATGAACCTGAATGCAGCAGGCAGTCTAGAGGATCTCACAGCACTGGAGGATGGAGTTTCGGGTGGAGGAGGGGGGGAGCCAGGAAGTGTTGGAGGAACAATGGGAATGTCAGCGCAGGCTTTGAAGAGGCTGGAGAACCTGAAGATTGACAAGCTTAAGCAAATCCGCCGGCCAACCCCTCCTGCCCGCTGTTCCAATAACAAGCTACCTGCACTTCCTGGTATGTTCTGAGATGAAATTAAAAAAAAATATTCAGAACTCTGTTGTGGGCATATTGAATGAATTGCATTGTTACAGCATGACTGATCTATGACTGATAAAGTGTTCAGGGATTGTTTCAATGGGACATCTAAATGAACATTTTCAGTTTGTATTGATTAACTGTTTCTAAGTAGTTTCCTCGTTCTGGTTGTTCATTTTCAGGTCCAGGGGAGAATATGGGAATGTGTGCACCTTCTCCACTCCTCTCAAATCGACGAGTTATGGAGCTGTCCAATCACGAGTTAGGAGGTGGCACATCAATCGGCTGCTCTTCTAATGACAGGAGAGGAAGCGGCACCAGCAGCCTAAGCTCTGCATATACGGTCAGCCGTCGGTCCTCCATGGTGTCTCCTTACCTGTCCAGCCGGCGCTCCAGTGAGGTCTCACAAATGGGAGGAACGGCAGGGGGAGGGTGTCACCACCATGGTCCAGAGCAGAGCGGAGGAGACCCCCTCTCTCCTGAGACCAATCGCAGAGGACATCCTTGTCCTGTAGGAGGGGGATTGCCAGGTCTTCCTAATTTAACACCTGCCCAGCAATACAGCCTCAAGGCCAAATACGCTGCTGCAACTGGTGGACCACCACCCACTCCTTTACCCAATATGGAGCAGACAGGTACTCCAGGCAGAAGAGGAGGTGTTTTAAGTGAGTACCAAGGGCAGCCTCTGCCTCCTTTCCTTCAACATGTTGGCCCACGTAGGCACAGTGCCAACACAGAGTATGGAACTGGTGTTATTTACCCTCACCAGGCTCCAGGTAACAACAGCAGGCGAGCCAGTGACCCAGTTCGATCAGCAGCAGATCCACAAGCTCTCCCCAAGCGTTTCAATAGCCTTAATAATGTAGCCATGATGGGCCGAAGGAATGCACTACAGCATCGTGGCTCTGACACCAGTCTTGCCCGCCACATGTACTCACCTCGGCCACCTAGTATTACCGAAAATGTAATGATGGAGGCTATGGGTATGGAGCCCCACCTTGCTCCTGCTGATGCCATGGATCGTTCCATGATGATGCCCCCTGGAGAGAGAAGCTTCATGGGATACCAGCAACAACATCAAACCCTTGGAGGAGTCGGAAGTGGAGGTCCTCTTTCAAACCAGCTGTCCCCAAACCATGACTCTCTGAGTTGCCCAGACCAGGCTTACATGCAGGGGCACTACCAGAACCATGGAGGGGAAGTCACTTCCAGGGCTGGTGGAAATCCAATAGGCCAAGCAAGGCCTATTCACTCCGAGGGCATGTCTAATACACTTCTCCAACAGGCGGAGTACAGTATGAGCACCTGCCAGCTCAGTCCCTCAGGCCCCCATTACCCTAGCATAGGCCAGGGTGGTGATGCTGGAGGCCCCTGGAGTGATACCCACAGCCAAATCCAAACTTCCAGCCATGCTCTCCAGAACCAGCGAGGAATGCAGTATTCAGATCCTAGCCTGCAGCCTCAACAGACACAGGCCCACTTCAATAATCAGACAGGCCTTTACAACAGTCCTGATGGAAGCCACAAACTCATCATCAAACCTGAGCAGCAGTTCCACCCTGGGATGGGAGGTGGGGAGGCCTGTCAAAGTGCTAAGCTCCAACAGCAGCGCATGCTCCTCCAGCAGACTCAGGGTTACCCGCAACAGACAGGCCAGGTCATGATGAGGTCCTCTAACAATCCCAGCTGTGACTTTCCAGGACAGAACCAGAACTCCTTCCCCAGTGGAGGGGGCTTAAGCTTGGGCTGTGCTGGTACTGCTCTTTCAGATGGACAGAGGTCTGAAACCCCCATGATGCAGGTGAAGGAGATGATGGTGAGGAACTATGTACAGTCCCAGCAAGCACTCATGTGGGAACAGCATCAAGAACAGCAGCAGCAGAGTGGAATAAAACCTCCTCCTCTAACTGATAACATGGATATGAGTGCCCAGACAGCAATGATGCAGCACAGTCCACAGCACCAAAACCAGAATCTTTACTCCAGCCAGCCCTTTCCATCCTACCCCAACCAGAACCCGGTCATGAGTCCTCCGGCCCACAGCCGAGGGCCCAGCTCAGCTACACCTAAAGACCAGCAGCTGACCGGTCTCCAAGGCTCCTGTTATAACCAGGAGCTGGGGGTTCCGAGGCCTCCTCAGGGACGGAAACCTCTTAGCCGCCAGAACAGTCTGTCACAGGTAGGAGGAGTCTATCTGGGAAGCCCACCCCACCTCAGCCCCGTACACTCCACTTCGAGCCCCAGGCGAGGGGTCCGACTTCCTCCAGTTCAGCATCCACAGCACCCACAAACTGAAATGTTTTCTCCTTCCAATAACAACAACATGTACTACTCGGGTCAGATAAACATGGATATGGAGAAACACATGGAACCCCAGAACGGACCTTGTCTCAACCAGCAGCACAGTATGGGGCCCAACCTGGACCCAATAGGTGTCAGAAAGTCTGCCCCCTTGGCTCCTTATCCCGAATCTGGCCCTATCTCCAATGCCTTAGAAAACCTGGACCTAGACAATGCTCGCATAGACTTCACCTCCATCATCGATGATGCTGAGTCTTCCTCGTTCAGCCCAGTCAACAATCCTCTTCAGGGTCAACCAGGGTCTTCCTCCCAGACCTCATCCCGCCTCACAACCCCCCAGACTTCTGTCAGCCTAGCTGCAGGCTCTGGCCTGTCCAACATGGCTGTGGGCGACATGACATCTATGCTTACCTCGCTGGCTGGGGAGAATAAATACCTGAATACACTGTCTTAGAAGAAGACGAAGGGCCAACTTTTTCCAGACTAACAATCAATTAGAGGCCTTAGCCAGTTCCTAATGTTTTTATTGAGATCCCACATGGAAATGTATGTAGCCCAGTATCCAGAGGAAACCAACCTGGAGTTTAAAACACTTAATTCCTGTCACTTATAGTGATTTTCCCTGGTACACTGCAAGAAATCCCAGTCAGGGTAAGATAGACAAACTTTTGAATTTATCATTTCATGTAATGGCTCATTAGTCTTGGCTGTTTTATACATCCCTATAAGCCTTTATATATAAAACCAGTACATTAACCCTTGTTCGAGCCTTGATCCTGAACTGGCTAGGGTTCTGTTGCTACTAGATATCCATGTAACAGGAATAGTTATATGTTGTACTGCGTTAGACTAAGCTACTAATGTGATTCCATCACAGGTTTCAAAATTGTAAGAATCCCCACCCAAAACCTTAAAACCAAAGGTGCCTGATCAACCTCCCTCGCTGTATTGTTCCTTCGCTGCCTTGGTACTTGGTATTTATCTGTGCCTTATTATAAGACACAGAGCTATATGCCTGATATGAAATTGAACTTTTTCCAAACAGGCATTCCAGTCACGAAACGGCTGTGGCAACAGTGGAGCAGAGAAGGATGCATGTAAATAAGTTTTATATACATTTATATATGTTGTGTATATGACAATGAGACAGTGGATAAATCATTCCCTGTCTTGTGATAGACTGCTTGGATTCTGAAGGCCAATGTTCAGGGTTGGAGTTTGTAAGATGGTTGTTTCTCAGAGCTGTGTGAAGACTAAAGATGTGCTTTTAGAGATGGAGAAATAATTTCTCGGTGCTACTAAATATTAATCTGTATTGCTAGGGATTTCTTCCTTGTCATGAACAACACACCTTTATAGTGGCATATCAGTATTCCCACACATTGACAAAAAGCAGCCACAGACACACACACACACACACACACACACACACATAGCCTACACACAGACACTCAGGTCTTGTTGGTGTTTGAATCTTTGGTGTTCAGATTACATGTATGTTGTAATTGCCTTTCCAGACAGAGAGTTTGCACTCCACATGTTTACTGTAAGTGTTCGTGAAGCAGCTGTGTACTTATGTTTTTTCAGTGGTGTTTATAACTGCAAAACAGAAAGGGCCTTGCTCTTTTTAAGGTACATACATGGGGTATAATGAGTAAAGCTCAAATAATATGTGTGCAACAACCCCCTCTACATTACAGTATGTCTGATATATTCAAACATAATGCCTTCGCTCAACATTAACCCGACCTACGACTCGTACATGACTCAGCTGAGGATGACGGCTATTTTGAATGAAACCTGAGTCAGCTGGTTTGTATCTGTTAATAGATCAGTAATAGTTGCCAATATTTGAGAAACTGAGGGACATTCGTAGTACAGTGCTGCTGCACGTTGGCTCCAATCCCATAGAGGAGTTATTTGGAAAATTCAGCATTATTAATTCAGGATAGGTGATCATGAAGCAGGAATTTTATCAATCGCTACCACTGTATTAAAATACATATTGTTATGTGTACACTGAGGTACTTCTGTGCGACTATTGAGCGGTTTCATACGTAAGAATGTTGCAGGTCTTGGTAGGAGAACTAATTTTACACTGTGGCTTTGCACTGACTACAGCACTGTGTGGAAAGGTCTCTGTCTCTTATGACTATTCACATGAACCTCATTTTGATAGCGATAAGTAATCACCACAGTATTTTTTAATAGTCATTCAAGAACACAGCTGAGCACAGCTAGACTCAATAAGGCCACACTAAAGTATTGCTGAAGCATTTTATGTGACTTTTCAGAATAAAATAGTAGCATCACTTAAAAGTTTACTAAGCATTAGCGGGAATGAACATTTCTTCATTTTTGAAAAAATGTACAACCTACCAAAGACACCTTAAAATTACTGAGAAAAAGATGCACAAATAGTCTATTTTAACACAACACTAACACTAGCAATAAGGGCATGAACATTGACTGATAGTGCTGTTCTTTAGAATGTATGAGATGTTTTGTATAAAATTATCTTTTTATATTAATGAACTTTATGGACGTTGCCTTTTATGTGTGTGTTCTTTTTTTATAACTGTCATCCTTCATTCTGACTTTTTTGCTGGCAAAAGAATATCACCTTTAGCAACAGAAAGCTATAATAGTAGCATTAACTATAATAGACAAAAGCCAAGTGTTATATTTTGTGTACAATTTTCTACATTTTTATACAAATGCGCTATATTTTACCAGTTTATGAATAAACATGTTCAGTGGGATGGATGCAGAATGTTTGTTTGTTTGTTTTTTATGTCAATGGGGTTTGTTTTAGTCCAGGTTACATCACTTTAATTTTAGGATGAGGAGTCAAAGATCCATAAAACAAGTTTCCTGGTAAAATCACTGGTGTAATCTGCTAGATTATGTTTGTTTCTGTGTTTGGTGGATTAATGCAATGACTCCTTTCCTCCAATAGAGTGCAGCACAGCCTGAGATCAAGCACAGATAGCCATATAGTATTTCACTACATTCATTCACTACAAATAAGGCCCCCACAGCATAATTTGGATGCTGCACACTCGAAATAGTCTATCATCCCCGTAAGCATTTAATCTGCATAATTATGATCCAGTGCCATTTTACCCCAAGATTATTGAAAGTCTACCCAACTGGCCAAGCAGAGGACATTTGTCCTAAATCATCTCTCTTTTTGTCCCTGTCCTAATTGGAAAACCCCTTGTTATGATTATGATTTAGACCTGCCTGTCACGGCAGCCTATTATGAGCTACAGTGATCTGCTAGGCTGCTACAGAAAGTGAGTGAATTAGCGTTAAAAATGGCTGCTCTCGGTGACATCAGTTCCTGGACGGGTTCTCTGTGGTCAGTGGGGACTGGCACTGTGGGCTGCTGAATGCTGTAAGAAAGAAAAACTACACAAATCTTGCTCGTAAAATATTATCAACATGACATCTTTGCTTTAAATGACAAATAAGAGAGTGGTGGGAAATTCTGGAGAGAAAAGGGGGTATAAAAAGGTTTATACCCATGACACTGTTTCATATGATACTGTGCACCACTGGTTCCCAATTTTTCTGGCATGTGACAAATGAAGTCATGTCTATTTTTGACCCTACATCACAGGACACGGTGGTGTGGAAGTGAGTTATGAGCAGTGCAACCAAAGAGTGATTTTCCCCTTAGATTGATGCAAAATTAGAAAAAAAGTTTTTTCCTCTCTCCTCCCTTTAATCACCTTGTGACCCCTTAGAAACAGTATGCTTACACCTACTTAAAGTATGTGAAAGTAAAACTGATAGCCCAATTAGCCTATAAATAATTATCATTAATACTGGGTAATTACACCATGACTACCGAAGATATTAAATTCCCATTTCTTTCCAGGCAGCTGCCCGTTTAAATATATAGTGTAACAAACATAGTCCTGGTCAAAAATCACATCATCACCTTTGTAAAAAGGTGCACAAGCCCTATTAATTGTCTGTGACCATACATCTGCCATGTGCAACCCTGCAACCCAGCTAAACTAGCTAATTCTCACTTTTAATTAACCAAAACTACAAGCAAGCACTTTTAAAACTTTGTGACAATTTGAACACGCCTATGGTAAGTGACACTACTCTCAAATATTGCAATATCCTTATAGCCTATAGAAACTAACACTGTGTTATTTTTGTAATTTTTGTCATAAGAACACCTCCTCTTGTGCTAATGCTGTCATTCGGTTAATCTGCTGTGTTTGGTGAACTCATAAAGATGATTTACAGCAACTTTTTAATGTAATATTTTTAAAATAGTATCCCCACCATTACTTTTTACAGCGTTGGCTCATTTTGGTCCAGGGGCCCCAGTGTGCTTAGACTATATTGGCATTGTGGTGTTGTGGCATGGCAAAGTAGACTCACGGCAGCCACTACAGCCTGGCAGTAATGCTAAAGTTGACTCATTTGCTCCAAGGCAAGGGGAAGTTCTCCTGACGGACTACTGATTTGCAATCTGGCATATCCAGATATGTTATTTGAAACAATAGCTGAATCTCCACAACAAGGTCAGATCGGGTGTTTGCAGGAAGGGCAGCTGATAGGAGAAGAAAGGGAAAAGAATACAATTTTAAATTAAATACTTAAATACTGAATGGCTACGCGTTAAATAAATTTGTGAAAATACTAGTGTAAGAAACAAGCAATGTTACAGCTGCTCAGTCACCCAAAGTCAACCAAATTATAGTTACATCACAAATGTGTACAACAAATTAAAATCACTTATTGTCAGAGTGCTTTTTGGAGGAATTATTGCTGTAATATTAATTATATTTGAAGTTTATACAGCAACTTAACTCCTTATTTGACACAATTACATAAATCTTCCTGACCTTTACTGATTTCTTTCTTCAAAATGTACATTTTGGAAACATTGTCTTGTCTTCTGCCTCAGGCCAAAGTGATTCTTATGGAAAATTAATGTAGCTTTTTTTCCACAAAATTAGAGAGTGAATGTATGTTTGTTAAAACAATATTCTTGAAGGTATTCGAATGTTAAAAGTTAGACACCACTGATGCAGATTTTGTTGTCGGCTTTCTACAATGTGATCTCTTTTCTGTAGAGTTACAAATGGAAATGCCAAAATAAGAACTGAGTTTTTCAAATGCAAAGAAGTGGGCAGCATAATGACTTTTCTCTTTTCTTGTCTTGCCATTCAGAGGGAGGCTTTTCTTTTCCTTTGTCACTTAGGTTGGCATATAATTAACTCCTGCTTAATATGCTGTTTAAGAGCTCTCCTCCCCATGCAAGAAGCTTTGAACCCATAGACCACAGTCAGGGACAAAACCCCAGTGGGACTGCTTCCTCCATGCTCCTCCTTGTGTGTGTGTGTGTGTGTGTGTGTGTGTAGTAGTTGTTTTAACAAGACAGTAGAAAGCTCAAACCTTATTTTGCACCACACAACTATTAAACCAAAATAAGACTCTGCACAAACATTCAGCATACCAATCTGAGTCATAGTCCATCAGTAATCAAATGAATAAACCCTGAATAAATGCATCCAACAGAAGTTTTTTTTACAGTGTGTGTTTTAAAGTAAACTAAGACAGCTATGGTGCAGTTTACTTATCTTTAAAAGCCCATTAAAAGAAGTGCAGCATACCGTAAAACCTACAGCTCTAAATTCCAGATAGCATGTAACAAGCTACATTAAATAAATCAGGCCTGTGGCAAAAGGTTACAATCTAAATGACATCAATTTTGAATGAAAAGAAAATTAAGTTTAAGCTGAAAAACTGATATTCTACATGGACGTATGAACATAACTTAAAAAAACAGCTCCCAGGACCTCTGAAGCACCTCTGCACCTCTGTGACCCTCATCTGTAGCAAAGTTTATTGCCCCCTACTCGTCCACCTCCTCTCCTCCCTCTTTCTCTCCTCCCTCTCCACTATCCATCCCACCACAAAGAGCCGTGATGACCCTTCTGTCCCTCTCTTTCTTGGGCCCTCTGCTCCCTCCCAACCTCCAGGATGCTTTCTCTTCCAGAATCCTTTAAGAGACAAACCCCCAGCAGCTACGATGATCGGTGAAGGAATGAAGGGTGGGTGGAGGGGGGGATGCATTTTGCTTTTAACCCCCTGAGCTGACAATGTGGAAAAACATTGTCTTACCAAAAACTGTGACATTGAGCTCATGCAGTTGTTGAAAAAGGAACAAGGTTGAGGTGGTAAGACTTGTGATCATTGTAGCTACACAGAAACAGCAATAACCTCATAATCATGTTATAAAGGTGTATAATAAATTGGCTGAATATTTAAAATATATACTATTTTATTGACTGCAGTACTCATTATGACCTTTAATACTCCCACAGGGACAATAAGCAATGAATAGTGACTTTTTATACTAATATGCTATGAGTAGTGCTATACTGCCAGTTTATATGCTTTAACACATTAAAGTCATTGAATGCAGCCTATTTGTTTTGAGCGATTAAAGTTTATCAATTGAATCATTTGTCTCTAAAGGTTACGTGCAGGTAATCTGTCTTTTACTTCTCTAATCTGCTTCACTGTGTCAGATCCCCGTTTGTTTACTGTGCTCAGACTCTACAGCAGCGAAAATTATGCGCCGTGAAAAGCTACCCGGCTCGCGTGTATTATCTCTAAGAGGTTGGGGGGCACTAGAAAAAGCCAAGGTGGGGGTCCTGAACGCCGAGTTAGAGTTTTATTTCGGATGTTTTTTTCAGTTGCAAAACAGATTACGGTCCAGGTTGCAACACAAAGGACTGTCAATGCACCACTTCCTACAGCCATCCAGGGGTGAATGGGGCGCAGGAAGGGGTCCACTCCAGGGTACTTGAGCGCAGGTGCGACGTGCATAACAGTCAAACCATAAAACATGACGGGGACGGTGTGATGGGGTTGGGTTGGGGGGGGGGGGGTGGGGATACGTTCTCATAAACCTGCAAGTTAGTCTAATCCTAAAAAAAAAAAGAAATGTTGCAAGATGAGCCGCTGGAGTTAACAGACTAATTTGCACCTTGTTGAAGAGCCTGTATAGATTCAAGTTTAGACCCCTGTGTCTGCTATATATCTCTCTCTATATATATAAAGCTCTCTGTGTGAGTTTAAGATGCAGATTCAAAAGTTAGCGATGAACTTTTTCTGATCAGTTATAGCATCAAAATGTCACAAGTAATGAAGGAACACTGTCAAAAAAAAGTGTCAAATCCAGTATCCACAAGTTTGAATCGCTTCTCACTGTTGTTAGAATTTCTAAATATCTCAACAGATTCAACTGAAGAGTAATTACCCAGGAGCAATAGGTCAAATTCACCCGGCTTTTAGGTGTTACATGGAGAAGAAGTAGCGCGCAGCGTATCCCCAAAGTTTCAGATGGACAAACCCAGAACATGCGGATGCGTCGCCGCTCTCTTGAGAAGGAGGTGCAGGGCGGCGAATTCGGGACAATATTGTTGTCAAAAGTACAGCAGTGTGTTTATACATCTGTCGGTGCTGTTGTGAGCAGGTCTTACTAACACCGATTTACTGTGTAAATGAGGAGAGGTGTGCGTCTACGATGCCAAGACTGACCTCAGGGGCCAACCTCTGCTGCTGACATCACTCCTCCTCACGGCTCGTCGCCTCTGCTTGGAGTCTCATCAAGGTCTGAGTCTCCCGCTGTGACCGAAGGCGATGCCTCATCACCATTCATTCTCCGACAGGCACTCAGGACAAACACACCACTCGCACCGCTCCCCTGGACAACTTTTTTGTGAAACGAAATAAAGAGCGTGATGATGACAGAAGAAAGTAGGGGCAAACGAAGGAAACAAGCCAACCCCAGGCGGAATCGAGGTAAGGAAACGTGCAGCGCTGAAAAGTTTTTTTTTGCAAGTTGGTAAATGATGCAGGCAGATGTTGCTGCAGCGGACAGGAGCTCTCATGCAAACCGTGTTTATTCCTCCTGCAGTTTGTAGAAGAACTTTAAACATTATCTTTGTTGAAGCAATTTGCTGCGCGCCACTTCGACTACATTCATATCATAGACATTTGTGGGTTTTTTTGTTTGTTTTTTGCTTTAATGGCTTGTGATTGCATTGCAGCATAAGTTGCAGGGATGAGCAGTTAACTTTGGCCACTGGAATTATTATTCTACCTGTACACATACCTGGGCAAAGCCTAAATCTAACCCTAACCCTTAAAGGTGCGATGTAATCTTCAAGAAAAGCTCACAACCTGTGGCTGCACGCGTTTTGTGAATGCTCTTGACCCTTGTGTGTTTTATATAAGGAAGGGAGTTATTTAATAGATCAATGGTAAATCAAATCTGTCTCAAACCTTCCAGTGAAGTCAGAATCAGACTTTGATTTTGTTAAATATTTTTGGTCAAACATAATAGGCTTCTCACAGTCCACTCGTACTGTACTGTGCTTCGACTTTCTCCTATATGTAGGCTTTAGTTTTGTTGCTGTTCACGCTGAAAGCTTAACCTGACTGAGACTGAAACTTTTTTAGGATCTTGTTGACCCTTATTATCTATATTCTGTCCCCTGGTATTCGTCGTGATTTGACATTTTACATCATGTTTTGGAGCTGTTTGGCATTCTTCAACATTGTCCAAGTAGAAAGTGCATCAGGAGTTATAAAAGAAAAATATCATAGGTTGGATTTTTCTCTAATCTTCTAAAGCGTTTCTTGAACTACAATGTCATACATTTGATAACCTTTTTTTGTTACATTTTTGAATCATTTGCATGATTAAAATACACACAGATGATAAAGTAAAAAAATATAAATGTGTAACAAATTTTGGCTAAATCGTTTTTCTATCAAATATAAATGTTTAAAAATAAAATGCATTTATTTAAAGTAGCCTACCATACATTCCTATCAATCACCATATCAAGAATTAGTGGAAAGCTTCACTGACCTAAAGCTTTAGGTGATGTCAGTTGTCCCTACCACAGTGCTCAGAGGAACTTCTAGACAATATGTTGAATTTAGAAACTTTGTTCTTCAGGCATCATTTTTGTTTGTTTGTGGCTCTGAACTCACAAACAGAGGCAAAGATACACACACCTGTTCATGGATACACATATAAACATGTGTTCTTCCATCCTGCTATTGAGAACATTTATGTAGGAATCAAACCCTGTTTCCCTGAACCAAAACAAACAACAACAACATTGAATGCGTCTTTAAGCATAAATTTACCTTGAATCCATTTCTAAATAACCAAAACTTAAACCTAACCATGAACCCCGAAGCCTAAATAAACCTTATTCTATTTTCTTTTTTTTTAACTAATTGTGTTCCAGCCACTGCTCTGCTGCTGGCTCTGTATTTAATGCAAAGTTGCTGGGTTACGCAGGAAAGCCATGAGATATCCTAAACAAACCTAACCAATACCCCAAACATAGCCGTGAACCCAGAAAAAACACAGGATTAAGTTGGCCACAAAGGTTTTTTGTCATCCTGCTATCACTGAGAGGATATTTTGTCTTCAAAAACACACACACAGACAAACATTGCTGGCTTTATTCTTAACTCTCTCGAGGTCCGTTGCAAACCACGTTGCGTGCTTGTTTGCCTCTGATCTGACACACAACTGTCCTAAATCTATTTGCTAGAAGGAGTCTGTTTACTTGTATGGTTTATTAGTTTGCTGTAAGTGTTTCCTCATTTTATTCAGAGAGGTGTGAAGCAGAGCAGGAGTGTCACCAGGGTGAGATCCCCTCTGACTGCTTAGCGATAACGGGTACTTGTGTGTGCATGCATACACACACACACACACAGTCTCACCTTTGAGCAGTTTGTCGACCGACTGTACTCTATTTCACAAATCATCACCATCACACTACCGTGAAAACTATCAGCAAAAAGGCACACTTACTGACAAGGACCTGTCACTTCATCAGAATACCAGAAAAAAAAAGTCCAGTTCCTTTTATTCCTGCAGTGACCTCAGAGATAAGATAAACATCACCTCTGGTTAATTTCCAGCAAGTTTTACCAGTGAAGCATTTTAAAGGTTTAAGTTAAGATGTTTTAAGAAAAAATATATTTATTGATAATTAGCTGATAATCTGAAAACTGTAAATGTCATGTCGAATTCCTGTTATCTTTAATATATTCTACAATATATTATCACTCAGGACAAAAATGTGGCCTGCTTTTAACCTAATTGCACTACGAATTGCTAGTGAATCTTCATGCACGACTACGCTGATGGTATGGTGATACATAGCATATGTATATGTCACCCATGCATCCGTGCATGAGAAAGGTCTGCGTGAGTGAGCGCTTGCCGCATTTACATCCTCATGTCAGTGTAGAAAGTTATGTATTAAAGCTCTGTGTAGGATTGGGAATGTGCTGGGCTGTGTGAGCAGGGAGTTAAAGGTCCTTGATAAAACCAAATGAATTTGGCAGGCCTAACTCATAAGACAGCAATTTGGGGATCTTTTCCAAACCAGAAGAAAGAGAAAGAACATAGGCTGACTTTTCTTCTCTCTCCAAGGCGCCTATTGATTATGTCTCTGTCTCCCCCAATAAAACTGTCAATGTTCACCAATCCTGAGCAACGTGACGAAATTACTACTCTTCATTCCTGGCAGATTGAAAACAGTCCTGGGACAAAGAAAGGAAACATATTCATTTGAAATGATGAACTATATTTACTGGCCGTAAGTGAAAGATTTGAGTTTCAAAGGGAGTGAATTAATTAGCCGAGCACTATAGCTAGTGGTTCAATCCCCCCTTCAGTCAGTTAAACCAATGATTTCTGACACCACAGTAGAGATAATGGTAAAATTAATTCCATGTATTTTAATCATCAAAGGTGTTTTTTGACTATACTTAAAAATGTATTATATTTGATTATATTTCACACTGAAATAAATCTCTAAAGAAGTTTAAGAAAATAATCAAAAGGTTTATTTCAGTTTTTGGAAAACATCTTTGATGAAGCAACCTTTTAATATCCATTCTCTAACTTAATGCAAAATGCAAAACCACCTTGCTGGTGCAGTACTTAGTTAGCCTCTTAGCAGAGACAGCACCATTTAGATTGCAGTTTAAAAAAAAACGTGAATTATTTAAAGTACATAACACAGCCAGAAGGGCTGTGTTATGTACGGACTTCCCTCTGCCCTCAAACTCAGCAGGCATCTTCACCAGAATGACATCCGCACAACTGATCAGACTCATTCAAACCCTCGCTCTTGAATCAAATGTAGTGTTGCATTTCATGAGCACCCTCACAAACATATTTAGTTTCGTTGTCTTGCGCGTTATGTTTTGTTAGTACATGAGAAACCTCACTCTGTTGTTGAGTTGATGTGCTTTTTTAAGAGAGAGCTTTCTCTCTCCCTGTTTCCCTCGCTCCCTCTTTCTCGTTTTTCTTCTTTTTTCAAGTGCCAATTTATTTAAACTCCTTTCCCCTTTTCTTCTTTCTCCTTCATTGATTTCCAAACCCCAGTCTTTGTATGCAGCTGGGCCCCAGCTGTGTGTCTGTGACTGTGTATGTGTGTGCATACGTGTGTGTGTGTTTGTGTGGGTTTTTCTGGCACAGTGCTGCCACAGTGAGCATAGCACACTGTACACAAAGGACCCGAGCAGCAAAAAAAAGAGGGAAAAAGAGAAAGAGAGAGAATGGGGGAAAACATTTGAACGTTAAAGACTGACGCTTGTACTGTACAGAGTGGAGGGGCCGGGCCTTTTGGACCGGGCCTACTTTAACGGCAGATGTATCGGCGCTCTGGGATGAGGGGTGGGGAGAGCGAGACAGCAATGAAGAGCCCAGGCACCACAGTTTATTACCAGGACTCTTCAAGGGGCTCAACTCAGGCGTCAGAACCAGCGGGTGGGAGGGACAGAGGAGGAAGAAAAGAGAGGAGGATGACAGAGGTGGGGAACTGATGGGGTTGACAGGGCTGGAGACAGCGAAAACAGTTCTTCAGCGTGAGAAGACAACACACGAAGGGGCGTGAGGGATAGAGACAGAAGAGACAGGACAGGCGACAGAATGTGGGAATATTTAAATGTTTCCTCATTTGCTCCTCAACGTTCCCACAGCTCCAAGTGTCACAGATTTCTCCCATCCTAGCTCTATGTGTTTGGTGCCATATCTGCACAGCAGTAATGGGGAATCCCTTGATTGAGTCCCTCTGGTATTTTTCACATGTTTATTCAATTATTGCTTATTCTGATGCTTCAGATGTAGCCAAAGTAGTCCCATGTCTTACTGTACGTTCTCGTCGCGTGGCTGCCACGCTGTTGATCCACTCCAGGAGGAATTATTTGGAAAGTTTTGCAGTGCCATTGCACGATTAATACATGCAGAGGGGTTTTCCGCCATATTAGCTCCTGCACATGACTGTTTGCTGTAAGATCTCTTTTGTCGACATGTTACAACAAAACTTCCTCTTTTGCACATTAAAACAAAATATAGTAATAAAAGTAATTAATTGTTTAACTCTAACCCTAACCCTAACTATTAAACTTTTATTCAAACAGTCACGATCATGAAGACCTAAATTGTCAAAGACTTGAATAGCACCATGGTGAACACATGACTTTAGAAACTTAAGAGCTGAAAGTATGTCTAAGGATCATACGCCCCTAAACTGTAAGATAGCGCTAATAGCCACATAGCTCATGAGGTGTGTATGCATGTGTGTGTGTGTGTGTACTCTAGGTGTCTGGGTATGCACTTTTCACACATTTAACACTAACTGTAGTTTTTGTGGTATCTCACTCATGTATTGGCATTTCTATTTTCACATCAAAGGCGTTTTATCTGATAGACAAGGTTTACATACTGTATAGTTTGATGTTGCAAATTGATCCCTTTT